TTGTGCTATTTTCGGGCAACCGTCGACAAGAGTGTAAATAAGAGGCCAAGAGTCGGTAGCTGGGGCTTCGCGTTTGTTTGTCCAGGCTTAGAGAACGGCCAAGTCGCTTCAATTCGGTGAAGGGCCTTAGAGAACGGCCAAGTCGCTTCGATTCGGCGGTGGGGCGGTGGGGCTGTTTGTCAGAGGCTCAAATGAAGCTACTTGGCAGTGACGATGACGGGCATGCCGTTTGATAATTGCGACAAAATGACGCTTAAAACAAAACGATATTCACGCGGCCCCGCTGTCTGCCTGTCTGTCTGTCTGCCTGTCAATTTAGCGCTAAACTGACAATAACTGAGTTAATGATGAGCCTGCCATTAGGCCAGGACACAAAATGAGGCAGGGCTGGCACAAAGAGCACACAAATTGTGGCCACAGTACGGGCAAGGGGAAGGGGAAGGGGAACGGGATGTCGTGTCGAGTTGAGTTTCGTTTTCCAGCGAGAAAGAGAGGGAGGAGCAGAGAGTGGCAATTGTACATTTAACTGTGTGTCTGGCGGGGCATTTATCAAATATAATGGACATTCACTATCGTCCAGCGGAGCAACTAAAACAACTGTCAGCAAATTGCCGTGGGCACGCAAAGAGCTAAATGTCTAATAAACTTTGACATATTGGGGCAAATATTTCTATTTGGCAACTTGGCCAGAACAGCGACAAAACACACACAGAACATAGAACAGAATACGAAACATAAATTATGGACCCTCGTCCCTCATAGCCCATATCCATGGACCAGACAATAATGGCGTGAAATATGCAGGCAGGCCACACGAAAATAAATTGGAGCTCACAAATGCAGAGCTTAAATATTTGAGGCGGCGGCCTTTAAGACACAAAACAACCAAAAAGTTCTCAAATATATATGTAAATGTATATGCATATGTATCTGTCATATATACATATCTCATTTGATATATCTCTCTCTTTTTGTGGGGCCTTTAATTTACATTTGTTGCTAACACGCGCTGCTTTTTATTTTTATTTTTATTGTGCGATTTCGCTCTCTCACTTTTGTTTATTCTATGCTCCTCAGTGTGTGATTTATTTGTTTTGCGTTTAGTATTTGTATTTTACTTTCTCCGTAGTTGCTCACTCCACACTCGTACACCGTACGCCCCGATAACTGGCAACTTTCACTTGATGAGTGCCTGGTTGACTCCTGATAAGCGATACGCGCGCGAGTCTCAAAGAATCCGTGTTCCGTTCTCTTCTCCGTTTATTTCGTTGTCTCCGCCAAAAATTTTGCTCTGCTGTTTCCGTAATTTGAACAATTCGCCTGGAACAGCCGTCGACGACTGAGCGGGCCATGCTTCGTGCCTGCCGTATTAAAGGACCCATTGTGGGAGCCACGAACTGCTCCTGTCGGCCACACACCCACCCTCTGCGCCCACTCAGCTGTTTGTTGTTGCTGCTCGGGGCGAACAACGAAAGCTGTTCTGCAAACTTAACAGAGCCCAAAAGCTATTCTACTTACATATGTAGTTTCCGATTTTAACATGTCGATAAAGAGAACGCAGCTACTCGCCAACAGATGGCAGCAGTATATTGTTAAACGTTTGTATCTAAGCAGATTCTTAAAATCAGGCATATAAATGCCCACTATTTTAGTTTTAATCTCGTTCTCAGCTGTGACCTTCAAGGTAAAACAGAATTCATAAATTCATTAAAAATTGTCTGTAAATTGAAAGAAAAAAACAAATAAAAAAATATATTAGAAGTTAAATTGTATTCATTGTTATTATAATTCCCTATCACACTTTACGTGAGGTTCCTTAAAATCCCATTTAGCAGAAACGCCTGTTAATCATTCGCTCAATTTTCGTTCTTTCTGCAATTGTTTGCTCTGCGTTCACTTCACTTCAGCTCCCTAATCGCTCAACTTCTGCTTCTGGTGTTATTTATCGCTGGATTTATTTGCTTTCTGCTGATTTTTGTCAGCTGGCTGGGAGCGGAGCTCTGCCTTGGCTCACGCATAATTTACCTACGACAATAGAGTTTCGGGGCAGCTCCAGTCGAGCAGATGAACAGCACAGCTCCAGCCCGGGCCCAGTGGAAGGGCGGGCAGCAAATAAATTGGAACCACTTGCATTACAATCATCAAGCAACATCCATGGCTACAGCAGGACAGTAATTGAAATCGAATGGCGTGCCAACAACCAGAGCGAGGACCGGCATTAGTTAGAGGACGGCATCGGGAATTACATGGGACTGCTGCTGACCCATTGGAGACCTGTGCATCCAGGCGATAGTCACTGCATTAATTAATTATTCGCCACAAAACATAATGAAACATTGTGCATTGTGCAAGTTTTCATTGTCGTTTTAATCGCGCTTTTGTCCCCAGCAAACGCAAAAAGGTTCACCCTCCTTCGGCTATGGTGCCCGATAAACGTCAGCGCGTAGCCGCAGGCTGACCCGAATCCGAAACTGCCGCTGACAGGCCACCCAAGAATGTTTCTGACACTGATGTAGGGAGTGGTAGCCGGCTTACGCCAAAGGGGAGGGCAGAGTCGCCACGGGGAAGCCAGGTAAGCAGCCATCAGACTATCACGGCCATTGTCACTCTGCCCACAAATGCAAAAATTCGCAGAGCTTGAATCAGGGCTGGAAAGAAGAAAGTTACACAAAGATCATTTATTGGTAGTTAACTGGTTCACATTTAAATGTTTTATCCGACTAAATCCCAGTGAAAAGTTGCGTATTGCTTTGATATTTACTGACACCAAGTAGTGGTACATCTCTAGCCTTAAGCCTTAGCAACCTTTCCTTGCTACTGTTCGTTAGGGAAGCCAAGCAAAAGCTCATCCCCAGAAGGATTGAAGCCGCCTGCTCTAGACACTTTCAGCCATTAGAAGTCAGATTTTTGATCCAATTTCAGACGCGCTACTTAGTAAGGACTAAGGACTAGGGATAACCGCGGGATGCGAGACGTCAATTCGTTGAATGGACCTGCCACATTGTGCAAGTGAAATGGAGCGTGGCAGCTCTCCCTCTCTCCTCGCCGCCTCAAGACTCTAATCAAGCTGGCTGCCAAAAGATGACTATCTTCCTGGCATTTAATTAACAAGCGTAGGAGAAGGATACGTCGAAGGAGTTGAGGTTGGCAAAACTTTTTTTGGGGCATCTCAATTGCTGCACATACACCACAGCTCAGGGCGGATATTGTCGAATCTGTTTGTGTGTGTTGGGGCAGTGTGCCCCAGCGGGCGTTCGTTGCTGGCGCACTGAGACAAAGGACAAGTGCATCAGGATAATCGCATCACACTCGAGTAAATAAATTCCTGAAGTGGAACCAACTTTTCCCGGTTCACGTTCACTCCGCACACCCAGCCAAAAACATGTTGCCAGGCTAGATTGCTAACAATGGGAGCTGTCCGCCTCTGCCTCCCTCCGTCTCCTACTCGGCATATCCTCCTGGGCTGGATTTTCGTTGTTTTCTTTCCTGCCAGTGGCTGGATAATATGGCTCCAAGACCCAACGCCCACACAAAAATTCTCACACAAATGGACGGAATTTCGCAGTGGAAATGAATATTTCAAATGCTCTTAGCATCGAGTTTTGCGACGCAATGTTTCCTTTTCTAAAAAAACCAAAGAGGCAAATGATTGAGATATTATTCCGTGGGCTTTACCACTTTGGCTGCTCATGTCCAAGGCTGCAATCTCTGCAATATTCAGGAAATTATAATTATAAATCATTATTATTATTGCATGCTCCATACGTTGTATTGGGTTGTTACCTGCCAATAAACATATTTACACATATTTATATGCCTCTTTAGTTTAATAAACTGCAGTAAACAGGGAATTAATCAGTTTCAACATAAAAAAATTATTTCCTGATGTGTGCAAATATTGTCATGAATATATTTCACCCGAACCCGAACAATATAATTTTGGGCTGCTTTAAAATGTATGAAAAACCCAAAATAAGCAAAATAATCTCGGATTGGACTTGTGTGTCTTGTCATTTGTCTTCGTCGACATGCCTTTCAGTTGCGTCCATAATGGATAACGAATGTATGCAGCAGTCGTAAACATTTGATTTGCAAGCAGAGCATGACGAATGCCAAAGGCTGCAGAAGCAACAACCGCCTCATTAGAGTGCAACCAGTGCACAATACTTGCTTCTTGCGGGCTAGCGTAGTGGTTATCTGAGGTTAGTTGGGAGTGTATAAATATATGCAAGTACACGCGGTGTACAGCGAACTCTGTAAAAATAGCACTGAATCAACGGAGAGCGTCTTCTTTGTGTGTTTGCCGCCGTCGAGAGCTGATAGAGGGCCTCGGAACAAAGACTGCCGGGAAATATTGTAAGCATTTGCAAGTGGCGGCGCGCGCGCCAACTCTCCCACCTCGAGTGGCCTTTGAGATGGAGTGGAAAAATATCAAGTGCTCATCAACCGACGACCAGGTTGGTGGCAGGCACTCCAGCTGCGGCGCATCTAATTATTCACGCGGCTCGTTCTAATGCCACACATGGACAGATTGTATGGCCAGAGCTGGCGGCTGTCTGATTCTGATGAGCAGGTGGTTGGGTCGGATAGAGAGGGCCGAGCTGATTATCGAACTGACGTGCTACACAGCTACCGATCGATGATTACTTGGCTTCAAACGCTTTCCCTGAGCCATAGTTGTAATTTTAAATCACAATGCTCGAGGAATGAGCTGAATCGAACCCGCGGATACCCTAGCGAAGCAAACGAATGCTGGCACACTTATGTATAAATGAATCCACTGATTAATGGGTCCATTAGCCATCAGCACTCCACTAATCTGCGCCGATTAGGCAGTTAGCCTTGGGTCGCAGCCAAAGACGATCTGCATACATCATCGATTGTTAATCTTGTTGTGATTGATGCACTCTTGAAATACATCAAGTCTCCTGGCAGGGCATGGCTAGGGTATGACGAGAGCGGAACCAGTTTAATCCCCAGTCCACTCACACGCTTCCCAGTCCAGTCCAGTCAATTCAGTCGATCGCGGCGCTCGGGAGTGAGACAAAGGGGCCAGCGCTTAAATTCGAATTAAATCGGTACTCCCGCCGCGATGCTGAGGCTTCTGGGCTTCTGGTGTTGGTGGGCCTTCAGCTTAGCACAGGCAAGCAACACAACCACCGAACGGAGCACCCAGCTCTATGTGCAGCCCCACCTGAGCATCGGTAGCTGCCTGGATTACTGCCACTTCAGATACATTCCGTTCCTGCCCTGCCTCGACGACAGCGAGAAGATTGCGAGTAGTCCGGCGAAGGCCTGTGGCGGGGGCTACTGCGATGCAGAGGTCTTTGAGCTCAGCTACAAGACCGGCGATGGAGTGGAGGTGGAGTCGCGCTGCAATCGCGTGGAGAGAACTAGACTTGGGCGATTGGCCAACCTGCGGGAGCTGTGCCTGGACGAAAGGGGGTTCCCCGTAAGACGCAGATGTGAGATTCGCAATGGGACCAGGGCGTGGCAGTCTCTCAGCAACATCACCTGTCGACCTGGCCAGCAACTGAGCTCCAATCTGAACCGACTGGCTGTGGAGGCGCCGCCAGATATGATAAGCAGATTGAGCGACCTGCTGAGGCAGCCCCACGAGCCACTGCGGCCAGTGGATATCTTCAGCATTGCGCAAATCTTCGAGTCTCTCCTGGAGAAGCCCAACAAGGATCCTGCCGTAGTGTCCGATCTGCTCGGAATCTGCCGGCATGTCATGGCCAGCGAGAGGGAAACTCTGCGTCTCTCGGCAGAGCTGAATGCCACCAACACACTGCTGAGCAACTTTGAGGACTACCTGGATGCCCTGCCACCCCAGTTGGTGCCCCCAGAGAGCTGCGACGTTGAAGCCAAGGGGCCTGGTCAGGTGTCGGGCGTGAATGGCGTGCAGCATCAGACTTTGGGCCACATGGGAGTCCACGCTCTCATCAGCAACGAGCTGAGTGTGTTCTTTGTGAATCCGGACTGTGCCAATGTGACTGGAATCGCCATATCAACCTCCGACTCCGATCCGTCAGACTTTGGCTTTAGTCCCCTGAGCTCATCCGAGAGCTTGGAGAATATCAGAGCCAGGAAGGGGCTGCAGACAGCCGCCTTTCTGCCAGAGCCACTGTGGGGGCAGCTGAAGAAGAGGAGAGCCAGGTACTTGGTCTTCAAGGTCTACACGCGCGATTCCCTGTTTGTGGAGACGAAGAGCCGCGTGCGGATGCCGAGCAGTGCCGTCATATCTATATCTATTCCTGGAATGAAAAGTGAGTTGGTCACAGTCTATTCTTATCCGTAGTTCGAGTAATGTTCGCTTTACTTTAAGCCGCTGACAACTCGCTGCCGCTGAAGCTGCCATTTTTCTTGCGCAGTGGGAGCACAAACTCCTCCGCAGTGGCAGGCGGAAGGTGTGGCTACTGGAACTACGAGACCTGGCTGAGCGATGGCATTACCATCTGCAGTAGTGGCAGTGCGGATGCCCCACTCGATCCCGTCATCCTCTGTCACGCCGATCATCTCACACAGTTCTCCTTTCTGCTGGGCCTCAGCAAGAGTCAGACTGGTGTGGACGAGTACGAGGACGATCGAACGCTGGACATAATAACGAATGTGGGGCTGAGTCTGTCGCTGGTGGGACTGCTGGCCATCTTCCTGACTGCGGCGCTCTTTAGGCGGTTCCGGAGCTTGGCCTCCACCAAAGTGCTGCTCAATCTCTGCCTTGGCATTGGCTCTGCAGACGCTGCTGTTCATGGACATCGGCCAGGGGCAGCTGCTGGGGAAGCTGCAGTTCGCGGAATGCTGCCTGGTTGCGGGTGCCCTCATGCAGTACTTCCTGCTGGTCGTATTCAGTTGGATGCTCATCATCGGCTTCCTGCAGTTCAAGCGCTACGTGAAGGTCATTGGCGTTACCTATCCGCGGCATTATATTTTCATGTCTGCCCTGGTCGCCTGGACCCTGCCGCTGATACCCACTTTGTTGCTGATTAAGCTGGACCCCGCCTCCTATAGGCCCACCCAGCAGTCGCCCGACATGCCCCACAGTACTGTCCTGTGCTATCCCTCGGGCCGCGGCCTGTACCTGGGCGTGGTCCTTCCCATTGCACTGGTCACTCTGGCCAACGCACTGATGGTCGGCTACATCACGTGCAGCGTCTACCGGGCGCTGAATACTCGGGGCCAGCACACGCTGCAACAGCTGCGGCTCTTTGTGCTGCTCTTCTTCCTGCTCGGCCTCACGTGGATATTCGGATTCTGCAGCTACTTCCAGTGGGGCAGAGTCTTCTCCTACCTGTTCTGCCTGACGGCCACGCTGCAGGGCTTTGTGCTGTTTGTCTATTTTATTATCATTAACAAGGACAACCGCATAGCCTGGTTGGGCTTAATCTGCAATTGGAAATTCAAGGAGGAGCTGGACATTGTCGCACTGCGAACTCAAGAAAACTTGGCGTTCAGCCGCACAAACCAAATTTCATTTCAAAGCACAACAAGCAATTCAAATAAAGAATAGTTTACAATGCCAATATTATTAGAATAATTTACCTTAATTAAATAATTTCGTCTGAAGCCAACATTTGAATCTGGCGGGTATTTCACACAAGAAAGGGGCACACTAGAAGGCACACTATCGGCCAACTCACATCCCCAACGTATATATTTGCCCATCACTAAGTGTAATTTTAGTCGTAGTCGCGCGCCATCTCTTGTAAGCTTTATGAAAGCTCTTTTTATGCGAGCTTTTACCCGTTTCAACCGGTTTGAGCTTAAAAGTAGTTTCCCGGTCGTTTAAATTTATTTCTTTTTGCTTTTAATTTATGTAAATGAGGTGACTTTCTGGCGGTTTTTTTGGTGAATGTATTTCATAGTTTATTAGTCGAGTTTATTGGATGTGAAAGGGTCGTAACTCATGATCATAGCGTGGTAGGGGTGGTGAGGGGAAGGTGCGTGGATCGCGTGGATGTTGTGTTTTGACTTAAATTAGATTGTCGCACTTAAATGCCAGCAGTGGCCTTAAAACAAAGAATTAAAATATCGTTAAGTTATATGTTATAAGAACCAGTAAGATTAAAACAAATTAGCCTCATCCACGGGTTGCCTTCGCTGCGATTCGAGACGACGGCATTCCACAGCAGCCCAGCCAGCCCAGAAGCCGCAGCCAGGCCAGAAGCCGCAGCCGAACTCGTTTGAACAACACACGGTGCCGCCGACAACGCGACAACAACTCATCCTCATCGTCAGCGTCAGCATCAGCATCAGCGTCGTATCAAGAGTAATCGCAGCGGTATGTAAGAGCTTCCGGGTACCACATCCTTGCCGTCGGGCAGGAAATTCTGTGCATAGTTCTTTGGTGTTGGCGAATTCGGCGGCAGGGCGTAGTCCAGTATGTTCTCCGAGGCGGCGGGCACGCGGTAGACCAACAGCTGCATCGCCTTGGAGCCCGCTTCCGTTTTGGACTGCTGATTGAGGGCTCGCCGCGAAAACTGTGCACTGTCCGCCAGCTGGAAGCGCTGCAGATGGCCTTGAATAATCCGCCGTAGGGCTGCCATGGTGCTGGGCGGAGCTGGCGTCGAGTAGAAGTACGCTTGAGGCTGGCGGCGTGGCAAATATTCCCGACTCTGAGTGCCTGCCCCGACCACAGCCAGCATGGAGACGAGCAGCAACTGGAAGTTAAGTGGCAAAATATTTAATCATACCTCCGATTCGTATGCGGAGAAACTTACCCAACAGCACGACCTGTACATGGTTTCCTTATAAACTATTATTATCTTTCGATTCTAGCACGATCTTCGACCGCTCTCCGTTTCGCTCAACAACAGACTGAAGCGATCTGCTTTGGCGGGTCCGAGTCCGCGTCCGCCATTCTCCATCGACTCGTTTCAAGTTCAGGGTCTCTCCATCCATGCATTTACATAAATTTCTAGCCGTCCGAGCAGCGTCGAGCCCAGTCACAAGACATTCTCCGTTCTCCATGCTCTGCTCCTCCGACTAATTCTGTTTTCGGCGGCACTGGCACTGGCACGTGATTTATGCATAGAGAGACCCGCTCGAAGATCACCTTCAGTAAGCGACTATATATATTTAGCAATCCAGTTTAATCGATCAACGGATTCCCACTACTTCCAAGACAATCTCTGCCATTTCTCAGCTGACTTGATGAGATCCCACAGATAGCCAAATAGCCATATAACCGGGGATTTTTGGCACAGACGGCCAGGCGACGTCTTTGGGGTGTTCACGCCATTATAATTATGCAGATTTGATCTAAAACAACTGCATAAATCAACGTTATGAGTGGTCGCCTTACAAGAGGTCGCACATTCGCTCATCCATGGCACATTTGCATAATAGTTTCTATATAGAGATGTAGAAGCGTGTCCAGCGCCGAGCAGAGACCCGAGACCCGACCCCCTTTTGTGGTGTATTTTATATTGATTTTTAATCACCGACTCGACTCTTTGTTGCTGACAATACGCATCAATGATCGTTTGTCTTGTCATTCGATATGCCCGTCCCGTCGGACAGCTCAGCGCAGCTCGGCGCTGAATGATGACTCTCTCAAATGTGGATTAAATCAGAAGAAGAGGGGGGGGGCCAACAATGGAGAACATAATGCGATTCATATGCTAAGTGATAATGTTGCTCGAGACGCGATTTGTATTATTACCGCCATAGTTGATGTTGATGGTTAATGTGTGCTCGGATCGATTGAGATGTTGAAATGGCAGATCATCAATCGAATCGACTGGGTAGCCCGATTAACATATGGGCGGGGGCCAGCAATCGGTAAATGATCGCAAAACAGCTTAACGACTTTTCGATTGGTTGTGAAATGGAAATCAGCTGAGCAGAATAGGGCCCATAATTAATTGATGTTCGAATTAATTGATTATCTTTATACAAAATGCTTTGAATAGTCACTCAAATGTTTATTCAAATATGCCGCAGAGATTTAGTCAATTAGATTCCATTCGAATGCAATCAAATTATGGTTTATAGCTCCAGCTGGGAGTGTCGCAAAAGTTTTCTCAGAACTCGAATACAATTACCAAAATGGCCGGCGACTGAAAGTGCAGTGGAGTATTTCCTGCCTTGCCTTCCCATCTGTTGCCTCTCCTCTCAGCCTGCTTCTTGACAAGGTCGAGACAGCCCTGGGGAAACCATGGGCAGGCCTCCCCCCTAAAATATTGATGAGTCAGCTAACGGAAACGGAAACGCAATTAAAGCTCTGCGTGGCTGCAAATAAGCCTTTGGCATTACGTAATTACAATTTGCAGGATTATGCAGAATGCAAATATCGACTCGATTGCATTAGCATTTTGATTTATATGCAAAATAACGAGCTGTGAGACGGTGACGGTGGTTCGGTTCCTATATGTAAGCTGATGCTGCAGTGGAATGCTAGCAAAACGGTTTGTTTGTAATTATTATGTAAATTATTTATGCAATTAACTCAACTCCAGCGAGTAACTGAAGCCGCGAGCCGTGCTCATACATGACCATCCGCCATTCGCCATTCGCCATCCGCCATACATCCATATTGATGAGGGTCCTTCCGGCTCAACACACCGCTTATGAACATATACATGCATACATATGCATGTATGTTTGTCCACATAACAGATAATACATATTTCATATGCCATACAAAAGCATCATCATAATCAGGGAAGGACTAGGAGGGGCAGGAGCTACAGCTACCCAGCTACCCAGCTGCCCAGCTGCCGTTGAGTGCTAAATCCTCTGTCACATATGCTTGGGGACTCCCCTGTCAAAACGAACAAAAGAAATAACAAACAAAAATGGAATTCTGGCTGCGGAAGTCGAACCTTTTGATACCCATGCTGGAGGATCTCTACGTAGTGCCAATTCGATTAATGGATGAGCTATACAGCTGGAAATCTGCCAATTAGAGGAACTAGAGTAACAGGACTATACACTCGATACCCCTTGGATTGGAAACATCTGCTTGAAATGGTTATACCCTCTGCTAGGGCAAAGAGCCCTGAGAGGGCCACAAAAGTTGGCCCAACTGACCAGAACTAAATCCTGAATGCTACGTAATGAGTTTGATGGGCTTTTGAACTAAACTAAATTGAAGACAGGCATTTCATTTTATCACCCATTCCCGCTCTGATTCCCATTTCGATTTGGATTCAATGATGATGATATGAGGCATATGAGGCAGGCGAGCAGGAATGCCAAATCGTGAAATAAGAAACGTAACGTGGATGCAAGCAGCAAATTGAGTTATGGCCCCAGTTGTCTCATATTTTATGCATGACAAGGGCAAGCGAATTGCTTTCCAATCGACTTGGCGCACTCGAAAGCTTCTCCAGCTCCAGCTCCACACGCTGCTGCTCGTCCCCGCTAGCAGGGAGTGTCCTGCCATGCCGAAGGGTGCGTCCAGACAGACCCATTTCCATTCGCTCCTAATCACCCTCCAGTTATCGGGATCGTCCAAATGGATCATCGATTTTATATTGCCCAGGCACGACATTCTCGGCATTCCATTCCACTTTCTTATGGCTGGCTGTCTCTATTTGGGTCTACTGCAATTAAAGGTTGAACAAACTTTTCGGATACCGAAAAACTAATTAAAATAGTTTGCCTTTTGCAGCAATCAATTGGAAAACTGGCAGAGAGCATTTTGAAGCCTTAAGTTGTCTACTTTGACATTAATGAAGATGCCACAATCCCCCGAGGCAAGAGGAGCTCTGCCAGAAAGCTAGCTGTACCTTTGACCTTTCAACCTGTACATAATTTATGCTATTTGGCCTTCTGCCTCCCATGGCTGTGACTGTGCCTGTGCCTGTACTCCTGCTTCTGCTTCTGCTTCGACTGTACAACTCCCAGCTGGCAATCATTCATCATAATACAAGAATGAGCCGCAAATTTGCGACTGACAGCTGCCCCACCACTGCAACAAAACATAACTGTGCCACCGCATTCCCTGTATGCCCTGCGGCAATGCAAAAATAAAAGGAATTCCTGCATATTTAATAAGTTTATGCGCTTTGTGCAATAATCCCCAATGCCACATACACATTGCGCAAAAAAATGAAGATAAATGTCGGGTAGAGTCCAGAGCTACATACTACATATAATTTTATGTCCGCCCTGGATTCTGCCTTGTTGTTGTGGCGCATACTTTTGGTACCAGTGTGCCAGAATCCAATGTGGGGCTCTCTGCTCTATATTTAGTTGTATGCAAATACCGGCTACACATTCTCATTTTGACGCAATTCCCAGGGGCAATTTTGATGCGGTGTGGCTTTTAGCGGCTCCTGCGACTCCTGCCGCTCCTGCCTGTGCATACGTCAGATATGCAAATCCAGATACAGTTATAGCAGGGCGAGAGTTTATCATCTGTGTTTGGGTTTTACCTTTACCTTTCTCGGGCTGTGTAAGTCCCCATCTCGTGTACTTCTTTAGTAATTCAAGGCAAAAGTTGCTCGAGGATATGCAATAAACTTCATAGTTTCAGTAGGTTTCCTTTGGGCACACCTGGAACTACATTTGGTGGTGGAATAGAGCAAAGTACAGAAGATACATTGTCTGAATATACAATGCAAATGGCTCTCAGTATTTCTGTTGGCGAAAGTCTCTTACAACAATATTTAAATATTTTTTATGTCTCACATCAAAGATGGCACTTATACACCGCGCTCTCATTTATCTCTCCTGCTCTTGCTCCTCGAGCCCCTTACCAACAGCTGCCCCACTAGGGGGAATATAAATTTGCACTTGTCTACATTTTTTCACACCACAGCAAAGTGTTTGCTTAGCTCCGACTACAGACTACAGACTGTCCAAGGGAAATGGGCAAAGGCAAAAAGTAAAAGCAAAACCAGCAGGAAAATGGTTAAAAGAAACGCTTTCCTTTGGGTGAGTTGACTTTTCCCTTGTTGTGTCCCAAGAGCAAACAATCGCACGTGGAACGCTGCAGGAATTTCAATTAACTTGTTAGAATTTCACGCTCCCTGAACTTTAAACAAAAGCAACAGACAACAGACAAAGGACAATACGAGGTGCACTAACAGCGACTTAAAGCGACTAATTTATGTTTAGCTGCTAATGAAATGCTGCTAGTCCAAATAGAATTTAATGTCTGGCAAGTGTTTGCCAAAAGTTCGGGCCATAAAAGTTCTGGCAAAGGTTCAATGTGCCGCACAAGGAGTGCAACAGGTTGGAAATTGGACTTCAACTTGCCACACTCGCCCCGCCAGAGGGGAGTTCATAATCAGAGCCCAACTGCCAACTGCCACACGATAAAAGTAGGCAACATAATCAGCTCTCTCTCTGACCCACACAAGCACACTCGCCCGTCCTCTCCGGTAATCAAATTAATCTCGTACTCGAAGCTCGTACTTCAGCAAATAGATGTAATATGCTCTCGCAATTATTACACCCGGCTGGCAGCCCCCACCGGATGGGCAGACACAGATATGTAGACAGGCAGTGCGGACGGGGCTTCGGCTTTCCCTTCCCCTTCCCCTCTTTCGTTGCTGTGATATTTATCTCGCGCTGAAAACCTCATCAGGCTTAAGCACAGCGCTTAATTGCCCACAGAAGCAGTGTCCTTCGGCGAGTATCTGTCGTGTGTGTGTGTGTGCATTTGTATCTGCAAAGACCATCCGTCTCTGTGTGCCTGCTTGTTTGCCTTACATATTACTTCATTTGCCTGTGTCCTGAACAATCTGAAAATCTGAATCTGACGTTCGTTGTGGTGCCGCTGGAGCACCAGGAGCAGCTCCTGCTGTTTTCTGTTTCTGTTTTATGGGGCAAACAATGCATACACATAAGAGACAAACAAAAGTGAAGGGTCACTTCTCCGCAAGCGAGGGCGGATCCAACAGTGGAATACAACGCAAAATTATAAGTTTAAAGAATTCTTTTGGCAACCCTTTCCTACGAAGTGAACAGCAGCCAACACTCGCATGCCTCGCGTTAATATTTAAATTCTATTTTTGCTAATTTCTGCGTGCAAAATACTGACCTTCCCAGGAGCCCGCACGCAAGCAAATTTAATATTCTATTCCTGGCGCATGCCCCCTCCGTAAATATGAATCTATATATAGTATGGAATATATCTAATAGTACTAGCAAACTGTGAACCAGCACGTGTCTAGGCCATGTTTATTGCCATCCTACTTAAAGCCTAATGAATTGAATAAGTTTGAGGCAGCAAACCCAGCACGCACCTCAGAGTCCCAGATATTTCACGGATACTCGGGGCTAAGCCAAAGACCGAGGCGCTAAAGCTGGAGCTGGAGCTGGAAAACCCTTTGCATAAATCTTATGCGCAATTTATTTCGGACCTGAGTTTGCCTTTTTTAATTAATTTCTCTGCCTTGTGCTGTGTGCTGTGTGTGTGAGAACACCTTTTGTATTTTATGCGACACCCTAATGACACTTTTATGGATTTGAATTTTTTAGAGCGCCTTAAAAGGCCCCTCTAAAACACTTTGGACCCATCGCTGTTCGCTGGCTAGCCTGAGAGATGCCTAGGCACGTTCCATAAGGTGCCAAACAATTGTGTGTATAGTACAGCAACAACGAAGATTGTCTGGGGTGGACTTTTGCTGGAGTTCGCACTTCCGCCTGAGTACCGTTCAAATGCGTTGAATGCCGCAAACTGTTGTCTGGCCTTCGGCAGAGGCTTGGTTCTTGGTGCTTGATGCTTGGGCCTCTTCTTGTACGGCCTTTCTGGCCTTTTCCTTCCAAAGAAGCCTCCTTGGCGTGTACGTAATGTTGGAGAGGAATTGCGTATACGTAACGTAAGCAAATGCAGGCGGGGCATAACAGCATGGAAGAGCAGCGCATGCCCACAGTATTCGACTCTCTTTCGGGCTCTCTTTCGTGTGCTCTTTGGTTGGGCAACATTAAAGCTATGATTAGTGGGTCCTGGACCCATTGTCAGAGGTGCAATTATGTCAGATGCTGAGCAGTGAAATCGGATCTGCAAGTGCCACACAGAAACGTGAGCGCTGCCCTTACGCCACATGTGCCACAGAAATGTGTTCAAAACATTTTCTACCCTATCCCAGTTGATGCACAGGACTTATTAAATTGATGTCTAATCTATTGCAAAGCTCAATTTTCTTTAATTATGTTCATTCGCCATTAAATGCGGTCCAAGTCGTTGCCCACAAATGCCCATCAGATTAGACTAATTAAGGCGACCCACGGAGGGAGATTATTGATTACCACTAAACACATTTAATGCCACCATCTCCATGGATTCCTTGGGGCTCCAGCGCTCCACCTGGTGGGGCCTTTTAATACCGTGATGTACCTGTGGAAATTTGGACCGTCGTTTGGGCTCGTTGGAGCTGCTATAAAGCAGGAATTTTCGTCTAGAGGTCATCCACAAGCACATCAAAAAATGCCGAGCTAAAGTTGCTGCGCTAATTTAATTTGTTTGTGCCTGCAATTCATTTGCCGTGTCGTTGACTTTTAATGCACACATCCAAGACATTGTTTGCTTACTTTTACTTGTTGCCAACCTTTTGCTTGACTTGGCTAACATTTTGGCCCAACTCTCTGGCCCTGTCTCTGTCTCTGCCATTGCCTTTGTCCCCTGCCTGGGCTCCGACCCTTGACATTGTTGGCTGCCGCCGAGGCAGAGAGTTTTGAACAATTTGTTTCAAGTTGCGCATGATTTGAGCTCCTCTGCTCAAAACTCATATCGAGCATGTTTTAATATTAATTCTCCGCATGCTCCATGTGCTGTCTGGCTCTTGAAATTCCATACCGAATGCATTTACGCGAATTAATTTTGCCCACAAACCAGCGAATGTGGTGCAGCCAGACAGAGCTCTTGCCGCAGGTATTTGATGTACATGTACCCTGTACCCTGTACCAACCGATTAATCTCACCCATCCAACGCCACTGACATGGACCATCAATCAGCATCGAGTGTGGGGGCGAGCGTGTAGCACGCCGCTAATCAAAGAGAAAGCATTTTCCAGTTCCATCCGCTCAGCTCATAATTAAGGCACCGACTCAATCGATGTGAACGATCCAGGCCAGGCCAGAGGCAAAGGCAACTTAACTTTAAAGCGCCTCCTGGGTGGCAGCTTAGGTGCTCCCTTTACTGCCCTCCAGTTGCCATGGCCATTAATTTCGAAGCACTTGGGCAACCGTCGCAGGATTCCTTTAGACAATAAATATCCCAGTGTTGAGAACGCCGCGGCGGTCAGGTCGTTATTTTTGGGGCACTGCCACTGAAATGTTTCACACCTGCCGTTCCTCAAAATACAGGCACACGCTCCCCTCGCCACACAATCAACAGAAATTTATGCACAGTGGATCGATATTACTTTGAGTAAAGTTTGCAATCAAAATAAGTACAAAAATGTAAAGCAAAGTCTTTCAAAGTACATTGAATTGTTTGCGTGGCAGCCCACCGTGCACAGCCCTCGCACATCGCTCTGATTGATGGCCAAGGGTGCCGCACTTTTTAGTCTAAAAGTTACCACAGCTCTGCATAACTTTACAGGTCTCGTACTACAAAAACTAATAAACAAAAACAATAATAAACAATAAAAATACAATAAATATTTAATGTTGAGTACAATTTGTTCGTGGGGTGGCTGACAAAAACTGGCTGGACTGACTGGGCGATATCTGTGGATAAAACTAATGATGCGATCTGTGCGAGTAGTTGGTGGATGAGGTGGTCATCGACTGCAGCTCGGTTGTGCGCTTTTGCACGTCCAGCGACATTTTGGTGGGGCAGAAGAGACCCATCCAAGCGCGTCGAGCGGCTGCATCGAAGAGCACAAAGTAGACGAACAGCACGAATCCCTGCATGGTGGCCGTGATGCAGAACAGATACGAGAAGGCCACGCCCGCCTGCATGAAGGCGAAGATACCGAAGATCCAGGAGAGCCCAAGCAGGAAGAACAGCAGAATGGAGAGCCGGATCTGCTTGACGACCATCTTCCGCTCGGACTTGTGGACGCTCTGGCTGAGCGAGTGCGAGATGCTGTAGAAGACATACACAAAGATCACCAGATTGGCCACAGTAACCAGGGTGACGGGCAGCACCAGGCCGAAGATGAGGCCGTGGCCCGATGGGTAGCAGATCCCAGTGTCGGTTGCCAGCTGACTGGACGAGGGCAGGTAGCAGTCCGGGTCTATGAAAGCCACCAGCAAGGTGGGCAGCAGGGGCAGGGACCAGGCCACCAGCGCCGCCTTCAGAATGTAGTGGCTGGGCCGCTCGATGCCAATCACCGTGACGTAGCGCTGGAACTGCAGGAAGGCGATTATGAGCATCCAGCAGAAGAGCACCAGAATGGAGTACTGCAGGCTGGCCCCCAAGGCCACGCAGCGTGCGGTGTCTCCGTTGGCCACCAGCTGTTCGGATACGTCGTCCGTATTGAGGAAGACAAAGAGAACCATTTCGAGGGTCATGGCCAGGCACAGGTGGAGCAGCACCTTGGTGGAGGCCTGGCTGCGCCAACTCTTGAAGAAAGCGGCGGTGAGGAAGATCCCAATCACCCCCATCAGCGACAGGCAGCAGCCCACAATGGAGATGATGTCCAGCACCCGCTCGTTGAGGGGCGTGATGAGAACCTCCTCGCCCAGGTCGTTGGTGCGGTAGCTGCCGCCGATCAGGAACGAGAACTGGGTGAGGTGGTCCGTATGGCAAACGATGATCGGATCCCGTAGCAGGTCCGAGCTGCTGCTGCTGCTGGTGGTGGTGACGCCGTATTCCGACCAGGTCGCATAGTCCCAGTAGCCGCAGCCGCTGCCCTTGCTGAGGGACCTCGCATCGGGCTCACGGATGTTCTCATTGCGCAGCAGGAAGGGCAGGCTCTCGGGCAGCATATGATCTGAAACATGAAGGGGCAACATGAGCATGAAGCCAGCTGTCACTGAAAAGTGAAGGATTACTCACTCAAAAGTCCTGGTATGGATATGGATATGACCTTGCTGCGAGGCCTGCGACTGCGTGTCCGCGACATCTCCACAAAGAGGGCATCGTGGGCATAGATCTTGAAGACCAAGTAAGTGGCTCCGCTCAGCTTCACCTTGGCCCACAGCTGATTGGGCAGGAAGGTGGCCATCTCCAGGTCGGACTCCCGCTTCAGGCTCTCCAAGCTGTCGCTGGCGCGCAGGAAGCGATACCAGAACTCGCTGCTCGATTTCCTGCCCTCGGCCTGGGCGGAGTAGATGGCTATGCCCGTGATGCTGTCGCACTCCGGATTGACAAAGAACACACTGAGGTTGCCGCTCAACAGAGCCTGGACTCCAATGTCCGAGAAGTTGACAGTTTCGACGCCTGTGGCTGCCACTTCGGCGGCATCGCTGGCGGCCTGGGCCTGGGGCACGACCTTGCCACACTGCTCTCTGGACACCAGCTGCGTGGCTAGACCGTCCATGTAGTCCTCGAACTGGCTGAGCAGAGAGTTGGTGGAGTTCAGCTGGGCGGAGAGACGCAGCACCTGGCTGTCGGTGGACATGATCTCCTTGTACACACTGACCAAGTCCGCGCTCACCGCCGCATCCTTGTCCTGCTCCATCAGGGCACCGAGGACCTGCCCCGTCATATGCACATCGGCGGGCAGGACACTCTTGTCGGGCTGCCTAAACATGTTCCTCATCGTGGCCGCCATCTGGCGCCGACCCTGGGTTTCGTTGGCGCGCCGCCTTCCCTCGAGGATGTCGTCGTGCAGGCTGTTCAGCTCCACGCTGATCGTGCGCTCCCTAAAGTGTCTCAGGCACACGACGGGCTGCCACTTATCTATTTTCTCCCACTTGGCCCTGTTGTCGTCTCGCTCACACCTCCTCGTGACCGGCATTCCGTTCCTGAGGATGCACACGTCGTGCAGGGTGGCATTCTCCCCGACTCTGGCCCGCTTCCACTGGTTCGTGTGCGGTGTCTGGTCGTGGTTCCGCACGATATAGTCGTGCCGGAACTCTTCCGGCTCGCAGCTTGTGGCATCACAGTACAGCAACTGCAGCCGAACAAAATCCGATTGCTTTATGTTCCGATCGCAGTTGTGGTACTTCTGTCTGCCGTTCACCAATCGACAGACCCTGTTCTCCTTCGAACATTTTTCGTTTGAATCCTCGCGTTTGCCTCGCGAGCTTAAAGATGTGCGGATATCAGCATAGGGGGATGAAGTGTTTGTGAATAAGGGATTATCTCTTATGAGAGCCTCCGACTCCCATGGGAGGGTCAAGGCCAGAAAGAGAACGACGCACCGCAACGAATTCATTTTCGCATGACTCAGTCGCATGAATCGCTTTTATCTTTTCTCACTTCTCCGATCCGACATATACGTGTACTAAGAGAATACTACCAAGACGTCCGACTCTAACGGAGAAACGCACAGCACTAAATATTGCGCACTGAGCTTTCCGTCCGCTCAGCATTTCCCAGGCCAGAACATACCCCAACAGCAGCGACACCACCGACACAGACACTGGCGTGGTCTGGTGTGCGTTATCAATCGACACCACGATCGTTTATCGGAGAATTTAGTTGCCTCTGTCCGAGCACGTACTCGGCGCTCACCTGAACTTCCCCTTAAACTTGCTTGTTGAACCACCAATAATTACCATTTCGCAATGTTTGTGTAAATAAAATTAACAATGCTGACAAAGATGCAGTGAAGGTTAATGTCAAACTGTTATCATTTCTTTATTGCCTTTTTTCCTAGATAACATATAATTCATTTATTATTGTAAACAAGAATAAAAATAGCCGAAGAGAACGACTCACCTATCGATCATCAAATTAACATTTAAATATTATTAATATCTACCACTGATCTTTCCCATTTCGTTCAATACCACAGTGCGTGCCAGTATCTGGTATCGATAAGGCGGAACGTAAGGTCTAGCTCTATTCGCTGATATTGACATTGCCATTAGCAGGGCCTTGGCAATTGAGCGATAATATAAATCTGGACTTGTGACGTCGCCACAGAGTGGATTGTGTTTGAGCAAACCACAATTTCACGCCTTTTTACTCACCAATACACACACACACACACACACATATAGTACGAGTGCTTTGGCTGATTCATTGAGAAATTTGTTAGCTCCACTCGGAGATAAGAGGTTTATGGCATTTACTTGGAAAGCAGCGAACAGAAATAACCCTGAATGACTTAGTACATTTTATTTTTTGAAATTATTGTCACTTAGTTCTGGCAAACACCTTTGCGAGGTTTTAACATATTTTTCAAAATTTTCCTTGAAGGACAGAAGCGCTCCTTCACGGGGAAGGGATCAAGTACATCGTCGTGCAATCAATTATATTGTAATGCTTTGAATAATGTTTTACATTCAGAAATAGAGAACATGTTTTTCGTAAAACTTAATTTGAGAGTCTAGTCGTGAGACATTTTAATTCGAATCTTATCGCCGCAACGTGACAAATTTTAGACCGGGGGTCTAATGAACCCAACTTGCCCAGCACCTTATGAGTCAGAACATTGAATGGATTGATTGATATATTGAATCATATTAAGCTTATAGCCAATTGCGATAGTGGGGTCACAAAATGCTTGAGATTAAGCTTCAGCGGTGTAGAGAAAGTAGCACAAATTGTGTGACGAGACGAGCGATTAATGTCAGTCACTGACCATCCCAAAGGCGGAGGAAATTGTGTTTCCTGAGACAGATAACCGCAAGGGAAGTAACTATCCAGGAAGGCTGCAGCACAACTCAATTTATTTTGCCAGCTACCAATGTTCTCTCTCCCTGCGTCCTTTGCTTCCGACGATTATCATCAACTGAAACTGCAGAGTTACGAGTAGGCGAGCATGCCTAATCCACCTTGGATGTGCAGGCACCGCCACTGACATTGTAAGCCAGTTTTTGGGTGAAAAAATGTAATTTTTATAACCAACTTCCATGGCACGTATCCGAAGAGCTGCGTGGGCTCCTTCCGTGTGGGTTACGGAAATTGTTGGCTTGTTGACACGTTTTCAATTATCAGTCAAATGTCGCTGACGAATTCAAATACTAACCCGAACCGGGCATACGTATACTACATTCCATACACATCATTGGGCCCCAAAATTGATGGGACTGCAGGCATTCAATCAAATGTGTCACATCCTGACACGGTTCACTCTTCCTTTATTGCCAGCAAAGGCACCAGCAGAAGCCAGCAGGGTGCTGGCATATGAAGAACGTGCAAATACCAAACGAAATATTGGGCTTCTTTTGCTCGCTGTCTGCGTTATTGGGATTGTGCAGTTCTTGAGTTTTTATGTGCGACCGAAAATCCAATTAGCAGAGCCACCAACAGAAAAGCGGAAGAAGCCCTCAAAGCAAACTTCCTTGGGGGGCAACAAGTGACTGGGATAAACAAGTCCACGGTGTGGCAGACAGGAAATCATTCAAGAGAGCTCCCAGAACTGCCAGCTCTGTGGTCGTGTGACCGCCAACGATGGTAATAAATTTTCCCAGGGCCAAGCTCAACTGCATCAGCATTGTTGCACTTGTTGGTAGTCGTACTTGACTGGCTGCCTGGCTGCCTGGCTGCCCGGCTGGTTGACAAGGTTACGAGACGATGGGGAAACAGGACCCCAACCTGGCTGGGGGCTCAAATGTGATTAGGGTAGATTTTGAGTAGAAAAAGCTGCTCCAAGGAGAGGACCGAGCGAGCGATGTCTTAAATTGAGCTGGCGGGCAATGAGCCGTGCCGACATTTACGCACTTTTAACGACTCTCCAAAGCCCGCACGCACGCCCCGTTAATATTGAGCACACATTATATTCGTTTCGTTCAATAAAAATTGGTAAACTTTGCTTTGGCTTTTAAGCACTTGAATGCCTCGTTGACGCTCAGCGAAACTGGCTGGGGAAATGTTTAATGGAAATCGGAAGAGAGCATCTTCCCACATCCCAAATATAACTCATATGCATAAGAGGAGGCGGTACTCAAATGTTGCTGCTCCGCTGCAGATGGGATCGGATCCATTATGCTCATTACGCGCCGCCATTCTTCATTCCAGCCCTAAAAAAAAACCCAAAAAAACAAGAACGAACCAAAAAAACCAAACCAAACCACATCTCAGCATCTTCACATCTCCACCTCGCCGTTCCGGCCATGTCAATTGCAGCCAGAAGAAATTCATTTTGGCTTGCGGGCAAAGTTAAATTAGATTTTTTTCTCCAGAACTCGTTCAGTTCGGGTTCCTTTCTGGGGCTCTGACAACAGGTTGCGGGGATTTAATGAAATTAGGCAGCTACGCTGAATGTTTGCTGCCATACAGGGTGATTCTTGAGGCACGGGAAGGGAGCATACACGGGAAGCCAGACCCTGTCAGGCGTAGTCGGATTATGGCCACAATTTTTAACAGCCTTCATTTTACACAATTGGCAAGGCAACAAATATGCGAGTATGCAGATGCCGCGCGAACTTTGACACGACACGACACACATGTGGCCCACTCTCTCCCCGTGGACAGTTTGTATGTTTTATACCAACTCTGAAGCAATTTAATTTAATTACAACGTCTGGTGCCACTGTTGCTGCTACTGCTGCTGTTCCAGCATCATCTAATTTCATTTTGAGCTGAGGGCCACGCCAGGCAACAGTTGCCCCATAAACCCTGACACACGGTGCACGATGTTTGGCTCCAAGTTCTAACAGGATTAGCCCCGGTGGCACACATGCCGTACTCTTGTTGTCCTGGTTCTGGCTGCAATCCCTGCAGGCCTCGGCATTTGCATAAGCTACCCTTGAGCCGAGTTTCGTTGGTGTGGGGTTGGGTGGGGTGGATTATATTTTGGAGCTCATGTTCGACAGCGATTGATTGGAAATTCCGTTCAACTTTGGACCGGAAATTGTCTAGCAAATGAAATGGGTTGAATGGCCTTTAGTTGATTAAATTAACCCAATCGCTCTATCGAAAGGAATCCTTCAAAGCATCCATTCACATACTCCTACTCGGAGAATTTTTTGTGTGTGTGTGTGGGTTTTTGCTGTGGAAAAACTGGGACAAGTTTTCAATTCGGAGAGATGTGAGTGAAAACTTTTGCTCGAGATGCGACAAAATGAAGTGCTTGAGAACAGAAGGGAAGACATCCACAATGCCTGGCGAATGTTTCTAATGAAAAACCACTCTGGCGGAGACAAAGAAGTCCACTCAGAGATGCGGCTCCGCCTCCACTCGTCTCTCAGCTCCCAGCTTCCAGCTGCTCTCTAATGTCAGAATAAGCGTTCGTAAATCAGCTTTCAGACTTACTCGGGAAAAAGTTTCGCCGGCTGCACATGCATTTTGTAGCATGCTTAACGATGCCAAAACAGGCACGGACATGCCCCGCAGCGAGGTCACGTAAAGAGATTTTCAATTTGATGCGCCTACAACTACACGCACTTGGGCATGGCTTCAGACAAGATAAGCTTTCTTTAACACAAAACAAGTTTGACAAGCTTCGCAGAAGTTGTACCTTGTACCTTGTTCTTCGAAATATTTAACAGTAGAGAGTGACTATCTCTTTGTCTCTCTTTTTCGCAGCGCCATTCTATTTAATTAACATTTAATGTTAATGTTTACATTTCATGTGCAATGTTAAATATTAACAGAATACTTAACATAACATTAACATTTTTATGTATTTTAACAGCGCCTTTCTATGCGCTTCTCATAAGTTGTACGTAAGCTGCTGTTGTTCCTGGAATTATTTAACAGTAGAGAGTGACTATTTCTTCTTTATCGTCTCTCTCTCTCTCTCTTGCTGACTCTCTGTCTCTTGCTGTCTCTATCTCGCTCTCTCTCTCTCTTTCTGTCTCTCTCTCTCTCTTGCTGTCTCTCCCTCTCATGCTCTCTCTCTCTTTCTGACTCTCTTTCTCTCTCTCTCTTGCTGCCTCTCTCTCTCTTTTGCTGACTTTCTCTCTCTTGCTGTCTCTCCCTCTCATGCTGTCTATTGCTGCCTGTCTCTATTTCTTGCTGGCTCTCTCTCTCTCCTGCTGTCTCTCTCTCTCTCTTCAGCAATCCGCGCCGCTACATTCTTATCACAGCTTGTAGTTCTCCCGATCTCTTATTCAAAGCGGTCATTAAATCGGTGTCGTGATCGCGCGCCAAAGGTTTCATTCATTCTCTATGACCATGTACGCATATGCACTGTGAGGTAGCTCTAAAAAAAACTTTCGCTCTCGTTTTTATCATTTATATACATATGTACATATGTATGCCAACAGCTGGAGGAGATGTGCATGAGAGAGATGCAGAGAGACATCGATTCGTCAGTATCAGTCTGTCGGCGTTTTCATGTTGCGTTGCCGCAGTCTTTTTTTTCTTCTTTGTAGTCGACAAAGTTCACTTCTGCGTGGGGTTTACTGTACACATTTATGGGCCTACGTGGCACTGCGCTTAAAGTCTATAC